AAGACGACAAAAACCCTAAACTTTTCCGAGGATTCATCCTCGGAGCTCGAGGATGCCCCGAGGAGTGTCTAACGACGCCCTACGTCCGATTTACGCTTGTGCTCCGCCGTTTTCGACCATGTGCAGTAGTCTGTGACATGCGTGAGTCGTTGATCATTTTGTGCATCCACTGCTAGTGTGGATTGTCTTTGTTTTCGTGTATGCAGCTTCCTGTCGACCAGTAGAATTTTTTTCTTAATCATTTGTTGGCCATTTAGTTGGCCACTTTGCGTTGGCGCGAAGCTTCAATACTATGGTTTTTAAGGGGGGGGTGTTTTTGAAGTTTTGCACCTTCTTTTTTTTTTTTTTTTTTTTTTTTTTTTAAGGCCCTCGTGCAAGGCCTCTATCCTGGTGGTGGTAAGAGAACCACCGGGATTGAGGCTTTGCCTGGCGGACCGCTCCATCTATTGGTGGGGAGCAACACCTACTGGAAACCGGGTTCAGCATCCCTTAAATACATCTTTGCAAAACAGTACATCTTGAAAGTGACGCCATTGTGCTGGAAAACGGGTCCAGTGTCCCATATCCAATCTACTCTTCCATACCTATCCTGCAGCAGGGTCGGGTATTTGGGCGAGAAACACTGGGGGGCACCAGTGGAGTCTCCCTCCCTCCCCTAGCCTCTGCCATCCACCTACTATCCTCATGGAGCCTATTGTGTCTTTGCACTCTGCAGTAGCATGTGTCTTGAAAAAGGTTGAAGCAACAGAAAAAGGTTGAAATGAGCTGCACTGAAATCAGCTGAAATCAACTGACATTTGACTGACATTGATTGAAGTATACTGAACCTGCTGGAAACCGGGTCCAGCGTCCCTTAAATACTACTTTATAAATAATCATCTTTTGAAGTGACGCGTGCTGGAAACTGGGTCCAGCGTATTGTATCCAAATGCTAAACAGTAGGGGTTCCTATGCTGAGCTGGAACCGGGCCCAGCGTCCCTTAGTTATCGCAATGAATGAGCAGAAGTCGGCGGAAACCAAGGATAAGCAGAGGAGCTAAGCAGAAAAGAGGTCTGAGATACCCTGACCTGGGGTCATGAAGGCGATAATCTTTCTTCCAAGGACAGCGGGTGGGGGCGAAAGGGATCTGTGAAATCCTGTGCAACATGCAGCGGGCTGTCGGGATCTATCTTAGTCCAGTCGTGGACAATCAGCTGGTAGTTTCTTACCATCTCCATCCGGGGCTCCTGTGGTTCTCTTTCAGGCTGACAGTCCCCGGTCCATTTTACCTTAGCCACTCATCCTTTCCTTTCCTCTCCCAACCAATTCTTGCTAAAACCGGAGATAATCATGTTCATATCCCCCCAGGTATGCATCTGGTCCAGCTTGTCTTTGGCTGCCTTCCATCGGGTCGCAATCTCGTGTTGAACCAATGTTCGTATTTATTTCATTACTTCTCCGTCTTCCACCTGCGCCCCCTCTACCCCCAAGATACATCTCTTCCACCATATGGCCCATAGGATGCTCCGTCTTCCCAGGTTAAACATATTTTCCTCAAATTTATTTCCCTAGATTTGAGGGCAGTACCCTAAGAGTATGGCCCGCCAATCCCATGGCCACACCGCACCAGGAACAATATGCCGCCAAATCCTATCCCAAATTCTCCACAACAGCACTGTCGCGGGACATTGAAAAAAAATATGCTCTATAGTCTCAGCCCGCTTTCGTCCATGGTAGCTCTAGAGACATTTATGGCACCATGGCAGTGTTTTCCCTTGTTGTTCCAGGCGAGTGTGGTCTATCAGCCAGTCATTGGTTGGTAGACATCGGTGTTCTATTTGCCACTGGAGGGCAGAGATTTTAGCAGGTCTACTGCTGTAATGTGCGAACCATCGGATGGGTTTAAGCAGGTTGCGGTCTACATTGAGATGGCGATACCATCTGTCTACAACGCGGTCCCGCAGTCTGCATTTAGGTCTTAGCATTCGGTAGGCTGATTTGGATTTTAGGTTGAATAATGTCAACTTGTTTGCCTCCCCCTTGTTGGTC